TGAATTATTTTTTGTCATTGTGTCTCCTGTCTAGAAGTCTCACCATCTATGCCCATCACTGTGAGATTAATAAGAGTCATTTGAAATGTTTTAGCTTTATTTAGTTTATTATATATTTCATGTTGTATAAGACCAATATTTTAACATTTAAATAGTCTTTAAAATATTGTGTGATTCCTCATTTAAGTTTTATTTAATGAGAGTGAATTGATGATGTGATCAGTGTTAGCTATCCTATTTGCTATCTCACTTTTTTCTTATCGGACCACGTCATGTTTACTGTATAACTGACACTCCCTTTTTTTCTCTCATGTTTGTTTTACTATGAAGCTGAGTTGTGTTTGCTATCACTAGTGCCATTGTTTGCTCAAGCTCATATCAACTCTTTTATGATGCAAATAATTGAACTGCAGGCGTTATGCAAATATTCACCTACACCTGTATTACCTAGCCCATGTCCATTTTGTCAGACAAAATTATCGAAATAATGTACCAAAATATTAATTCAAAATCTACAGTATTTAGTGCGAGTAACTTAATTTTTAAATGGCAAGAACTTGCAATGTCAGGTTTGGTGGTGAAGGTAGAACTGCTGTTGAGCATTCAGTTTAATCACTAATCCTGCAGGAGCCATTTGAGGCAAGACAGATTCTCCTATATTTGACTTGATCTAGTATCAATAATAGTTGATTTTTATTTAATAAATTAAAATAAATTGTAAAAAATAATTGACTTTTATTTAAGGTAAATACTAAAATGTAATATTACCTTAGAATGTTTTAAATTGCTATAAAGCTATTTATTTTTATTTTTGCAAAAGAACTAAATAAAAGTGTGCTTTTTGTGGATTTTTTTCTCTCACCATTTTGGTGATTAATGTTCCTTTTGGTGAAGTTTCTTCAATTTATTGATTATATTTAATGACTAGTCAGCATCTTTTTAAATCAGTCGAAAAAGCTGGTAAGAAGGCCTGACATATTTCTATGGCAGAACCAAAGGTGTTCCAAGTGAGAAAATGTCCTATTTCAAACACTTCAACAACAGGAATACACAGTACATAATACACTATAACTACAGAATAAAAAAAAAAGCTGTGCAGAAATTTGAATTATGATTTGACGTTTTCACAGAAATGTGCTTTTAATTAATATCTACATGTGAATCCCTAGTAGTTATTCTTGTTTTACTCTATAGATTGCTTTTCGCTAAGTATTCTCAGTAGTACGTTTTCATATTTGAGCATATTCAAACATTCATATTGCTCATTCTGATTAACAGATTTGCAATCTCTCAACAAGCCTACTAATGAGTAATGTAAAGTGAAATTCCATGCATGCTTTGCCAAACATAATTTGGCTGCCAAGTTTGTTTCTATACACAAATATTGGCAAAAATTCTGTGTATACTACTTTATTGCTTGTAAATATTTAAAGGACTGCAAACTGACTGTGTCCATATACAGTAGACCCGAAATCTGAGACCACATTGAAAATCTGGGATTTTGAGAGAAAAAAAAATACATAAAATGAATATAAATAATGCAAATAAATATGACTTATTTTAGGTTACTAATGAATTAAGAACACCATTTTAATTGTTTCCAGTTGGAACATTCTCAAATCATGCTGGATCATTGCAAACGTGCAAAATGAAAAACAATGATCATTGCAAACTTGCAAATGAGAAAATGGCATTGTAAATCCCACTGTACTTGTAATGTATAGATAATATCAAACCAGTTAGAGGTGTTCAAATGTTATGTAATTATTTCACCCAACAGTGAAATAGCCCTAAAGCAAATTTTGAAGTAACTTTGAATGAACTGTCCAAAGTTTCATTCTTGTATGTTCATCTGTTTATGTTCAAACTCTGCCATCTACTGGTTGACACTGGGCATTTCCGAATGTTTTTTTTTAGCAATTGCTTACTTAATAATTACCTTGCATGGGAAACCAATACAATGTCATTTAATATGTATAGAAATATATTGCTTCACCACTTACTTTCAGACTCGGATACTTTGTAGGAAATAAATTAGCAGCAAAAACCATGTTCTTGATACACAGACAGCTCTCTGTTGAACCAGATCCATAACCGATACTCAGTATTTTGTCAGTCTAACACCTTCCTGAAGTCTAGCTAAATACCTGACCTTTTAAAAAGTCTCAATCCTTTTCACCATACATATTTAATACAGCTAGCTATGCTACACATATCTATTTTTAATAGGTGCCTTTTGCATTGAAAGCCATTTAAATACATGTAAATGTCCCTCTTTCATCTATTTGTAGGATTAAACAAACCCTTGGTTGCTTCTGCCGCAATCTGAGTGTTTTTGGAACAGAGCTAGAGGGGTGTGGTTTGAGCAATCTCCCAACTCACAGCAGGCAAGTACCCATGACAACTATTTGAGCCTGCTGGCAACTCACTGTCTTCACATGTTGGGGTTGCCATAGCAACTCCCCGCGGGACTCCCCCTAGATCGACAGGAGGGGCGTCCAGTTGACTAACCCGTTCTTCGTTAGAGAGCTGGAGGGAAAAGCACTGTTGTGGATCTGAGAAGGAGGACCACGCTTGCATATGGAGATAGAACTGTTGCTTAATTCCAAATAAATAGGTTAAGATCCATAAATAAATGTGAAGAGATTAACAAACATTAAACATACTGACAAATAAATAGAATTAGATCCACAAATTAATCTTAAAGGGGTCATATGATGCTTTTTTAAAGATCATTATTTTGTGTATTTGGTGTAACAGAATATGTTGACATGCTTTAATGTTCAAAAAACACATTTTTTTCAAATACTGTACATTATTGTAGGTCCTCTATGCCCCGCCTCTCTCAAACGCTTCGCTTTCTACAAAGTCCCTCCTTCTGACAAGCACAGTCTGCTCTGATTGGCCAGCTGACCCAGTGCATTGTGATTGGCCGAATACCGCAAGCACTCGTAGCATAGACTGACAATATACTGACACACAAACAAGGTGGTTTGCAATCACGTGATTCTGATGACGCGCGAAATGCAGCTGGAGGGCAGGAAGTGATTTTTCTCTATAGAAATCACTAACAAAACTCAAAATGCCTGTGTTTTGCGTTGTTTATGGATGCTCAAATCGACCAAACCGAGAAACCACAAGGAGCTTTTATCGTGTACGAAAATGTGTTGTTCATAAGGGGGGAAAAGTCAAGAAATTGACTGAAAAACGCAGGAAAAAGTGGCTTGTAAACCTGCGTCTGCGGTCGGGAGGAGCGGAGCCGGATAATGCTCGTGTGTGCAAATTATTAATATAAGATATCATAATGTATTAAGATATTAATAAAGAAATCTATAAATAGATACAGGGTGACACAGTCAGAATTCACTGAATGCTAAACGCCACACATAGACACGATGTAAATAAGATATTATTTGCATTCATATTATATTTTAAAGGCACGTAAAATATAATACTGTGGCTTGGCATGATACACAGTCTAATGGTCTAATGAAATCCAATTTTAAACATCTTTTACTGTACCCATTTTATGGCCCCATTTGAGCCAATGCAGATGAATGAAGTTATCTCAGGACGAGACCGCCCTGATTGTAAAGCAAAACGTGATTGGTTATAGCGAGATCGTGCTACGATTGTTCAGCGAAATGTGGCTGTTATCTGATTGGCTTGAGTAGACGGTGGGTGGAGTCCACGTATTTGTGGATTGTCAGCACGTCTTGACGCAAGAAATGTTTCACAATTCGCAGATGCACAGGACGCGATTCACAAATAAATGCCAGGCAAAGTTGTGGTTGTGATATAAATATATATTTGTGAATATGTTTTTTATTTGCAAATCTCATTTTATTTATTTGTGAATTTAATTCATGTTTGTGAAACTTTAAGATTTATTTGTGGATCTCATTCTATTTATTTGTGGATCATAATCTATTTATTTGGAATTAAGCAGCAATTCTGTCTCCATACTTGCAGGCCTAGCACTGACTCACCAAAACAAGCGGAGGGAACAACCAAACAATGGCACTCGTTATGCGCTCGCTGATTGTTCTGCCTGCTGTATGAAAAATTATTACAAAAATATTACGTAATTTTAAAATGCTTGTGATTATGTGCTCCAAAAAACAAAGTATATTCAAATATGTTTAGGTTTACTTGTAGGGGTTTACATCTAAATGAAGACAGTAAGAATCATCATAATCAAGCTGTCATAACAGTGCAAAAGAAATCCAAACAACATACTGACAGACTGACTGTACTTATATCTGTAGCTAACAATGAGATCACATCTCTCTGGTTTAAAACAGTTCAAGAATAGAATGCTATGTGTTTGGACTGAGCTTTATAAAGTAATCTTTACACCTCGCCTAAAGATGTCTCGCATTAATTGCCTTTGTTGTGTTGAGTGTTGTAAAAATGGCAACAATTTCTGTATTCGCTTGGATTGTGAAGCCTTATTTACAATATAAAACAATAGTTAGAAAAAAATAAAAAAAGTCGTTTTTAAAAGAAAATACCAAGCACACAGTACAACTGATCAATATCTACCTGCTTGTATCTGGTTTTGTAGTAAACATAAAATACACAAACCCATTTGAAATAAAAGGCTCCTTTTAAAGTATTTATTTTGAAAAAGCATAAGAACTCACAGAAAACTTATGCTGTTTTAGGTGCCAATGTATGTGTTGAAAAGTTTTATTAATCCATAAAATGCATTTTTTTGCTCATCATAATATAAAAAGTGACAAGGCCTTTTGTTGGCAATATGAAAGTCATTTTTGGATAAAACAACCTATGCTAATGCAAATGTATAATTTCTGTTTCCTTGCAAATCGTGCATTACTACAACAACTATTACTAGAATACGATTACTAATCAAATCAGACTACTTTGATTGGTACAGCTCTTGCAGTGGTTGCCTTTGGATAAGAACTCCACTGTTTTAAACATTTTCCATGATAAACAAACAAACAAAATGTGGAAATTTAGTTTTTAAAAAATGCTCATTTATGGAATTCACTGAAGCACCCTCCTCTACACAGGTGCACGTTGCAGATCTTGCACCCGAACACACTCTCGTGTCTCAGGCCTTTGTTAGTGCAGTTCCGACAGCGTCGCGAGCGTTCTGACATGCGCTCGAGGCGGTGCCCGTACTCCAAGGGCGAGTCTGCGTGGCGTTTACGGGCCGCCCGCTCCATGCCCCTTGCCCCCTGGTAGTCACCAATCAGCTGCTGCGCCAGGCGAATACGGAAATGACGCTGTGTAAACTGTTTGCCGTTAAAGCCTGCTGGTGGAGACCCTCCTCGGCTTTCTCGTTGTACCACGTAGGCGTTGACGATGCAGAGATTGACGTAAAACCACACGAAGTAGCGCCACCATTTTTTACATGGCCTCCCAACCTGGTAGCACTCCCTAAGCTGGTCGCACAAATCAACACCCCTCATGTTCTCTTGGTATAAAAGCAGAGGAAGGGGACGAGGTATCCCAAGCCCCACCAGTCCACAGTCTCCATCACTTGCGTCTCCATCGAGTTTACCTGGCCCGATGCCCACAATGCCGGGTGCAGAGTTAGAAGACACACAGCTAACAATTTTAGCATCCTTTGTGATGGTGGCTACCAGGTTCCCATGCTGACACTGATAGAACTCACCTGGTGCTAACTTCCCGACATTGCGAGGTTTGAGGGCTTCGGGGTAACCGCGGCGACACGGGTTGGTAGGGCCGCAGGCGTAAAGCCCTTGATGCAGCAGATGCTGCAGCAGGGGCACCGATGTGAAGAAGCTGTCCATGAAAATGTGGTGGTGCCTACCCTCAAGCCCCCTTACCAGTGATGTCACCACCTTGTGGCTCAATGCAGCAGCTGCCAGATCGTCGCTCGGCTTACCAACATAAATACGAGTGCGGTGGCAGTAGCCCGAGCGAGAGTCACAAAGCATCCACACTTTCAGTCCCTTCCGCAAAGGCTTTGACGGCATGTACTGGGTTGGTGAAAAGCGGCCTTTCGGGGCGATAGCACACTCATCAATAGTCAAACAACGGTTAGGCAGGTAGGCATCCCACATGGTACTTCCAACCATATCCAGCAGGGGGCGTATTTTGTAAAGCCCATCATAACCCAGCTCCCCTTTGGAAGGCTCTGACTCTCGATCACATAAATGCAGGTTTTGGTTGAGCTTTTCAAAGCGCCGGGCAGTCATTGTTTTCTTAAAGCCAGCATTACCTATGAAAATGTCACTGGCCCAGTACATGCCATACTCTGGCAGCTGATTGATGCCCATGAGGATGTTAAGGCCAACATAT